CATCTAGATCAGTGGTTCTCAACCTTCCTAATGCCATGACTCTTTAATACAGCTCTTCATGTTGTGGTGACCCCCCCAACCATAAAGTTATTTTCATTGCTACTTCATAACTGTAATTTTGCTACTGTTATGAATTGGGTGACCCCTGTGAAAAGGTCATCCAACCCCCAGGGGGGTCGGCTGATCTAGAGGCAAAGGATTCAGGCAGGAAGTGGTTAAAGTGATGAAAACGTAGGCTGTGAAAACAGACCTTTGCTTGACGCTAGACTACCATAAGCTACCTGTGTGTGACTTCGAACCACTCACTTCACATCATGGAACATCACTTTCTCACCTGTGCAACAGGAATAAGCACTGTAATGGAGGTTTAACGCAGCCCAACACAACACTGCATGCAGAATAATGCTCGAAATCCACTTCCCTTTCCTTCCTGAGGGAAACCCTTTTCTGATTGAGAAGAAGTCATTCTGGGGCATGGGACAATTGGTTGGTTATCAGGTTATTTCTGGTAGGGTCTTTGAACTGCTCTGGTATAATATCAAGTCACTAAACACCAAATACCAAGGGAGAGGAAGAGACCAGGAGAAAGAAGCTAGGCGTAGGTTATGTGTCACTCGCTACAGGTGTCCACGAAACATGTGGTCATGCTTCAGACACCTCACACAGTCAGTTCAAACTCCTCAATCTACGTGGCTCCAGTGTTGGACATTTAAGCATCATGGCGGTGGCATAGTGAGGGGCCTTGGTAGTGTAGTGGTTACTCATTGCGCTGCGATACACGTAGTCAGCAGTTCAAAACCACCAGCAGCTCTGCAGGAGAACAGCTGGGCTTTCTATTCCCATAGACAGTTACAGTCTTGGAAATTTGCCAGGGCAGTTCTACCCTGCCCAATAGGGTCACTATGAATCGGCGTTGACTCGATGGCAGTGAGTCTGGTTTGATTTTTTGATCTGTCATAACCCCTACCCAAGCAGATAACCTGCAAGAAAAAGGTGGAAAAGCAAGCAAGTGACAAGCTATGTTCTTGGTGACTTCCCTCTGCAGGATCCCTACCTGCACCACCTTTATTATTTCTACAGAATGGCCCTTACTTAGAAACAGTAAGCCTCATGAAGGTGAATGATCTCTTGTACAAAAGTTGATGTACATTATCAAATTCCAAGCTCCAAGTCTCAGACAGGTACAAGTGTCTTATTTGTTTCAATGTTTTCTTTGAGCATGCACATTTCACCCGGGCAGGAAACCTTTGGGATTCTATCTTAAAACCACTTAAGGATATAATCAAAAGGTTTGAGTAGCAACCCCTATCCATAACACATCCTGTTCACAAAAAGCGCCCCAGAAACTCGATATAAACAAAACCCCTCTCTTTACTTCTAGGAGATAACGCTGTAGTTTCTGTGTCCAACAGTGGGCCTTACATCCCCACGGCGATGATGTTTTCTTCCTCTACTCCAACAGAGCATCTGCTGCGAAAACACCACTGAAGCCCAAGTTATTTTCACAGACAAAAAAGCAGCTGGTCAAGCTAATCCACTTGCTGACCAGTCACCATTAAGCCTCTGTAAGGCTGTCCTGTTAACTTAACCTCTGTTGTCAGATTGCATGAGTCAGAACTCCCAATCCTCTTGCGACGAGGATTTAGCAACGCTTTGGCACCATCATTTGAAACCACTGACCGAAGAACCAGAAAGAAACCTTAAAATGTTAAGGACAGATGTAAAATGCCTAGACTGCGATAGAAAAGTACTTTTACTTTTAGCAACAGGGCAAAGTTATTTTCAGGTTGGATTATGAAACCAATAATCACAGGTAACACTTAGATAGTACTTTTGACTGTTAGGCACTATTAATTGACTTTTAAAAATTAACTCAGTCCTCACAATAACATTTTGAAGTAAGTACAATTATTACCTCTGCTTTATAGATGAGGAAATGGAGGCACAATTACTCAAACTCATACAGCTAATAAATAGCAGGGCTGGCGACCTAACTCCAGAATCATCCTCTTAATAATTTAAAGCCCAAATCCCAATACAGACAAAGAAACCTATATTCAGGTCATCCTCAATCCTGGCTGTCATTTTCAGTATAACATTCTGTAACAGGAAGTAGTCTCAAAAAAGCAAGGTTTCTATTTTAAAAACAATGAAACAATTAGTCCAATACAATTTGGGGCATGCGACTGATACTGCCGTAAATCATAAGAGAAAATAAAGCTTCAGTTCAGTGCACTAAATCAGTCAAGAATGAGCACCATAAACTATCGAAAGCAAAAAGCAGTTTTTTCCCCCATTAGATAATTTGATACCACAAGTGAAATTCAACACATTTTCTAACACTGAGAAGTTGATTCTCAAAGTTATCATAAATACGATACATGAGTACAATACACAACAGCTATTCTCTGCTGGCCTTGGAAGAACTGCATATGGCACTGTATAAGGTATTCAAATATATCATTTGGGACGAAACTAAATCGTTTCCAATCTTATCCTAATGGTTGGTTTCAAATCTTATCCTGCATTACGTTGCAGGAACCACAACCTCCAACTCAATTTCTCATTAAAGTAAGGTGTAACGCATGCCTGACAGATTACGATCCAGATGAATACACCTTTTTGTTTTAATGACACCTTTTCACTGTACACTCTTTGTAAATGTTAAGCATGATGTGTTTTCTTTCGTTTGTTTTTTGCATGATGTTTTCATAATGAATTATTTTATATGATTTTCACAATAACCCTGTAACAATTCTTACTTCTGCTGCACGGATGAGGAAACTGATAAGCCACAGTTAAGTGATTGGTCCAAAATTACAGAGTTGGTCGATATCAGCCTTGAATCCAAGCCTCTGGACTCAAGATTTTGTTCTTCCAGTTAATTTTGGCTAATATCCACATAGGGGTCCCAGGACTTTTATCTCTCTTTTTTTTTTAAGTAAAAAAGGATTTGCTTTGAAAAGAAAAGATGGTTCTTGTCATGTCCTTTGGACACGTTATCAAGAGAGGCCAGCCCCTGGAGAAGGTCATCCTGCTCAGTCGAGTCGAGGGGCAGCGAACAAGAGCAGGGCTCTCGCCCAGAGGCTTGGACAGACTGGCTGCAACAAGCGGCTCCGACAGGACCATGGGGAGGGGGCGCAGGACTGGGCGGTGTTTCCTTCTGCTGGACCCAGAGTCCCTATGAGCCGGTGTGACACCACAGAACCCAACCGAGACAGCGATCACCAGACAGAGCCTTCTTCACGCACTGCCCTGGCCGCCATAGGACCCAGCAATTCAGCTCCTACGAGTATGTCCCAAGCCCTGGGGGACCATTTTGACCACAGGACCCAGATCCGTGCAGAGAGGCTAGGACTTTTATGTTAAAAAGTTAAGTAACCTGGAAAATACGTTTACTCCTCACTTATCGGCTGTTAATGTAACATTTGCCATTTATGACAATGGTAAAAAACTATGATTTTTGTGCATTAACAACACGTGTCTGGCTGTCATGGATACCAAGTTGAGCGCAAAGAGTAACATTGGTTCTGATGGTTATGACTAACTTGCCTGGGCCACCATGCTCAGAATTTGGCAGGTATGTAATGTTGTCACTTGGCAGTTAGACTATGGCGCTGTGATTACCTTCTATTTTGTGATCTGATGTGGTCATATTCCACATTAGCAAAACACTCCTCACTAACAGAGGCAGTTAGATTCATCAAGCAAAATTCAGCATTCTGTGAAAATGGAAGATGAAATCATGTGCACTTTTGCTAAACACTATTATAGTCAACACTTAAGACATTACTATTCTCACATATCCCCAAGGAAGTGAATCCGGGAAAAATTCTGAGACAAGGTTGTTCCAATACAGCTTCCCAGTGCTTTCTACCTACGAGGCTGGTTTCTTGGATACGCCCTTTTCTATATTTTTTCTATATTATTAAGAACACGTGCTTTCCTTCACATAGTCATCTCTGTTTCAGTTAGGCTAGAAGCTAACAAAGAGAACAAGGCGCTTGGTTTTTACAAAAGAATTAGAATATTCATAACTCCTACCTGTAGTCAAGACATCAGTAACAAACTCTTAATTCAAAAGGCAACTTCCGTCTATCCTTTCCTCTACTTGTTTGGAAAAACAAAACATTCCCAAACAACGACTAGGTAACTGTGACCAGCAACGCCAGCTGGCCAAAGAGGGTGGAACCCTGTGCTGACAACTAGGAACATTTCCCTTCGATCCAACCAACACGAAGACCTGCTTGAGATCCAGCCACGGGCTGGGGGCGGGGAGCCACAGAAGATGTACAAAAGAGATGCCGTCCGCGACCTAAAGAGCATGGACCGCGCCGAGGGACACGACCTGGTGGAGGACAGAGCGCCAGGTCCCCCAGTCCGCACAGAGGCAGCCCGAACCAGGCTGCAGTACCAAGGTGGCCTGCTCCGCTGGCAGGTGTGGACCCGCCCAGAACGCTGGTTACCCGGTTACCGGAGCCCCAGGGGGCCCGAGCGCCCTGCAGAAAACCACGGGTTAAGAAAGCCAGAGCCGGGAGCCGGGAGCAGTGCAGGGCAGAGGCCAGTTCGGGGCACCGGGCGCGGCCCCCGTAACCGGGCGGTGGTCTCTTCGCCACCAGCCCATCGGCTGGGCGGCCTGGCCACCTCTACCGCCGCCAGGCCCGCGCCCCGGGCCCCCAGCCGCCCGTCCTCCGCGGGCCCCGCGCCGCGCCGCGCCGCTTACTTTCTGAGCGTCCATGGCTCGGGGCTGGGCCCGCCGGGCTCGAAAGCGCGCCGCTGAGACCGGTGATGAAGCGCAGGGCGATGGGACACCGCGGCAGCTGCCCGAGCCTCCGTCCGCACTGGCGCCGCCGCCCGGCCCCTCCCCGTCCGCGCCCAGCCCTCGCGGTGCTGTTGTCGCGCGGCGGTTGCCAGGGTGAAAGGGCGGCTCGCGGGGAGGGGGGGCAAGGAGAGAGCCCCGCGCCTGCGCGCTATCGCCGGAGGGACCCGCTCGAGGGTTGGGCGGGGCGGGGCGGGGCGGGGGCGCGAGATGCCCAGGAGGCAGTGGTGTAGAGGAGGGGCCTTCGTCCTTCAGTGGCCTGCGACCCTGGCTGCAACCTCCCTGTCCTCTGCTCCACCCCCGGCGCGCGCCAGAGCTCCAGGCTTTGGGATGGACCTTTGAGCATCCTGCTGCCTGACCGTGGGAAGGGCAGCTCGAGCCCCGGAGATCAACGCCCTTTCCATTTGCACGCCTCTGGGGCACCTCCAACCACTGGCTGTGACTGGGCATGGGTGCTTGGAGGCAGTGAAAGGGCTGGGATGATGCCGGGGGGGGGACTTAAGTGGAGAGGAAATGTTTTGAGAATGACGAAGGCAATAAATGTACAAATGTGCTTTACACAATTGAAGTATGTATGGATTGTGATAAGAGTTGTATGAGCCCCTAATAAAATGATTACAAAAAAAGAAAAAGAAAAAAAGAAAGGGCTGGGATGGAGATGTCGAAGAGATGTAGGGAAGGGCCGAGACTGGGACTTGGTGCCATCCTGGAGGACCGGCTCGGGATGGGGAGACTCCTAGCGGAAAGGTGGACGTGGAAATGTACACTCTGAGACCTGGCCTGCCTTCCCCGCAGCCCTGCTGACTCTGAGCTTCCTTTATAATTTCGAGGCAGCCACTCTCCCTGAGCCTCCGTCTCATTTTTAGTTGTTGTGAGAATGAAATCATGTATTTGAAGTGCCCAGTCCACAGTGAACGGTCAGTAAATCGTAGTTGTTATCAGTGAAGACGTCAGAGTGTCCGAGACTGGGCCGAGGGCGCAATGCACGCGTTGGAAACAGGCCGTCCAGCCTGAAAGCGCTCGTCTGCAGAAGGGCCTCATTCTCCATTTCATTGCCTTTGGAGAGGTTGGGAAAAGTGAGAGAGGCTAGTCACTGATATGGAAGGAGAAATCCATAGGGGCTTCCAAGAATTCGAGGGAAAGTGGAAATAAAAGATAATGGGGTTCTCCCCCCACACACGAACATTTTGAAACACCCCCCCCACCCTGTGCATGTATCAGGAACCCTAGTGGGGTCCTGATTACTTCGAGGGAAAATGGAAATAAAAGATAATGG